TGCCATTGTTGTGTTTACTGGAGTTCTTTGCCATTGTTGTGTCTACTGGAGTACTTTACCATTGTTGTGTCTACTGGAGTACTTTGCCATTGTTGTGTTTACTGGAGTACTTTGCCATTGTTGTGTCTACTGGAGTTCTTTGCCATTGTTGTGTCTACTGGAGTACTTTGCCATTGTTGTGTTTACTGGAGTACTTTGCCATTGTTGTGTTTACTGGAGTACTTTGCCATTGTTGTGTTTACTGGAGTACTTTGCCATTGTTGTGGCTACTGGAGTTCTTTGCCATTGTTGTGTCTACTGGAGTACTTTGCCATTGTTATATCTACTGGAGTACTTTGCCATTGTTGAGTCTACTGGAGTACTTTGCCATTGTTGTGTCTACTGGAGTACTTTGCCATTGTTGTGTCTACTGGAGTTCTTTGCCATTGTTGTGTCTACTGGAGTACTTTGCCATTGTTGTGTCTACTGTAGTACTTTGCCATTGTTGTGTCTACTGGAGTACTTTGCCATTGTTGTGTCTACTGGAGTTATTTGCCATTGTTATGTCTACTGGAGTACTTTGCCATTGTTGTGTCTACTGGAGTTATTTGCCATTGTTATGTCTACTGGAGTACTTTGCCATTGTTGTGTCTACTGGAGTACTTTGTTGTGTCTACTTTGTTATTCTCAACAATGAGGTCACTCCAGACAACTGTGGCGCAGGTTGTGGAGCCATGCCGCAATGCGCAGTGGAACCACTCAGAACTGGGACCATTCCTGACTGCCTACACTGACACTGCTTCGCGCAGCATCCTTTCTGGGTGAGAGACAAGTTATAATGAAGATGTACAATCTTTGTTTTATGTGTAATAGAAACATTCTGTTTTAATTTATTACAATTAGGATTGTAGGTCTGTATTAGAAACAAAGGTAAAACACAAGACCACATTCAAATTATTGAAACACTGTTACTCCTCAAATGTTATGAACTATTCAGTATATATATATATATACAGTAAAACCCCTCTATAGTGAACCCCATTGGAACGGGACTTTTGGTTCACTATAGCCACGGTTTGGGTATTTAAATTTTTTTTGATGATATAATTAAAGGGCATGCACAAAAAAAAAAAAAAAAAGGCTACCTCTTAATATTGGCTGCTTTTTTCCCCCTAAATTAACCTATTTCTATATATTAAAGCTGTATATTAAAATAAAAACAAAATCATGTGAAAATATTGCCTTTTTGATCAGTTCCTCTGATAATTTAATTAGTATAAATGCAACCTGCCCCCCATATGTCAAAAAAATCCAAGAAAAGTATACCTTATGTATAAAAATTAAATAAAAACTTTATTAATAATATTTTAAAAGGTATAAAAATATATTTTAAATAAATATTATTATATTACAATATAGGATACAAAGGCTTACTTGAAGAAGTCTGTTATTTTTTTCTGCTTTAACATATTCCTCAAAAATTTGGTTTCATATCTAGCAAAGAAATCTTCATTTTTTAAAATTACTTCTGCAGTGAAGTCACAAATTCTAGAATATGTCTTCAACCATTTTAAAGATGACAGCACTTGTGATGATGATGGCATTTCCTCCTCCTCTTCTTCTTCTGGTAAATCAATATCAGGAACATTTGTAACCATTTTAATAATCTCCTCATCTGTCATTTCAGCGAAGACCTGTTCATTATCATCAACATGGACATATTGCTCAAAATTTGAGGTTGCTCGTGATATTTCTTCAAGGCTTAAAAAAATTGTAGAATCTTGTGGGGCTATTTCAGCTTGAAAGGTTCCAAACCCAGACAAGGAAAAGCAATTTACAATAGTTGATTTAGGGACAGAGTTCCATGACATATTCAACAATTCTATTGAATCAAGCAATGTAATATTTGTTTCTCTATCATTTTCCATGTCTAGAAGGCATCTTTGTATCAACCTCATCCTGTATTTTCTTTTAATATCAAGAATAATCCCCATATCCATGGGCTGTAGCTTGGCTGTGGCATTGGGGGGGAGAAATACTACCTGAATATTTTCCAATTTTTCAGGAAGGTGGTGTGCTGGACAGTTGTCCAGGATGAGCAGCACCTTTCTATTTTCACTGCCAAAATATTCATCTAAATAGTGAAGATATTTTTTGAAAATTACGGCTGTCATCCAAGCTGTTTTATTTGCCTCATAATGGGTGGAGAGATTTTTTTCTTTTTTAAAACATCGTGGCTTGGCATATTTCCCTATAACCAGGAGAGGAAGCTTATCTGAGCCATCCATATTAGTCCCAGCCAAAAAGGTAATTCTCTCCTTGGACCTCTTTGTCCCAGAACAAGTGTCTCCCTTGAAGGTGAGTGTCTTGTCAGGCAAACATTTATGAAATAATCCTGATTCATCAATATTATAAATATTGGAGGGAGAATACTTGTCCAAAAAAAGAAGGAATTTTCTCTTTCCAATCTTCCACCACCAATGGGTTCACTGCCCTTTCCTCTCCACAAATTTTTCTAAAAATAATATTTCTTCTGGCCTTAAATCTATCAAGCCAGCCATTACTGGCTTCAAATTCATCATATTTCATACCCATGGCATAATAAATGGCCTTTTGTTGTAAAATGAGTCCATTTAGTGGGATGTTTTTTAACCTAGCTTGTACTAACCACGTATACAAGGCTTCTTCTAAAAGTGGATAATGACACTGACGATAGCGGCAATAGTTGGGATTGATTCCTCTTTGTAGCATTTTTTTTTTATAGTCTTCTTTTTTGCCCCATATCGTAGAAATGCTACTTTTGCTCATTTTCATTTTCTTCCGAAGTTCCGCTTGCGATGTACCACTTTCAATAGCTTTTATGATGGTTAATTTCTTTTCAAGTGATATCTTGGTACGAGCGACTTTTCTTTGGCACTTCCATTATCTTTTAAAACTGGTTTTAAAAATTTAATCATGTTTAAGGAATTTTCCTAATGTAGAGTTAAGAAATTTAGTTTTCAATAAGGCATGAAAAATTTATTTTTTTATTTTTTATTTTTTTGCTTATCCCTAGTACACGTGGTACAGGCCATGATAATCATGGTGGGTAGTTAGCGACTGCTTTTTTACTGTAAGCGCACCACATGTCTACACATGTGAAAAGCATTTCGACTTTGCACTTACAAATGCCAGAGCCCCGTTTGGTTACTTGCACTCGCTGGTGGGGTTGGACTTTTGCAAGAATCGGGGGCCATTGGAGCATTTTTTTTTTTTTTTTAAACAGAAAAAAGTGCCAATGCGGGAATCGAACCCGGGTCCTAGTGGTCGAAAACCAAATGGTTTAACCAGCCTTCCACCGACCCCCAGTATAAAAATAGAACGTGAATAAAAACACCCAATGTCGCTAAATTCTTTGTTTTTAATTGCGATCTGTAAGCTAGAGCTCACACAAAATTTTAATTAGTTTTGAAAATTATAATTTTGGAATTTTAGAATTAAAATTAAAAGTTTGTTATAAGCATGGTATTTTTGATAGAATTTAATATTTTGGGACCAAAATTGGGTTCGTTATAGCGATAGTTCGCTAGTTTGAAAAGTGAAAAGTTTGTTATAACGATGGTAATTTTAATGGAATGGAATTGGGATTTTCGATGGGTTCGTTATAAGGGAAGGTTCTTTATATCCATGGTTCGTCTTAGCAGGGTTTCACTGTATATATATATAATTTGGATTTGGTCTTGTTGTACCTTTTGTTTCAAATTTCCATGTTGTTTCTCACCATTCTCTCCTAAAGTGGCGACAATTTGGATTATAGATAAGAGCCATGAAGTGATATACAGTATAACCTCGTTAATTCGACACACCCCAATTCGACACTCGGCGATAATTCGACCATGTTCCGATGTCCCGACCTCCGGCCTATCAAATAACAAACCGTAATTCGACAGTATCGATAATACGACAGTTCCGATAGTTCGACCATTTTAAAATTCGAATTTCGACAGTTGAATGTTATTTTACATGCAACTTTACCGCTAAACGGTATTACGGCGGCGACGATCGGCATCGGCGGGCGGCGACGATCGGCAACAGCGGGCGTCGATACGATCGCGCCTGCGCACTTTTGGTTTCTGGTTAATTTAAGTTTCACTTTGCAGTGCCGTTGCGCAATTTCGCGGATGTTATTGTTGTTTTTTTTACGCGGGAATTTCGGCATCATGCGCTAACTAATAATAATTTTTATTTTTTTATTTTTAACATTGAAATATTTTAGCTATTTTTAAATTTATAAATAATTTCTTTTTAAATAAATAAATCTTTATAAAATGATCCAACAATGATTATGATAACATTTTATTTCAATATTCCATTTCTGTGTTATTATAAAAGATTTAAACACAAAATCAATAACACCTGCAGCAGCAGTGGATGCCTTTAATACATTAAAATTTATTTATTAAAAGACATTTCAGAGAAAGAAAGGCATGCATGTTTTTTCAAAATGCCATCTGGAATACATCCTGAATAGGATTTCAGTGCAAAAACAGATATCTATAAAGGAATTTTTTAAAAGATCTTCATGATTATTTTAAAATAATATTTTAAAATTTTCTTTTTATTTACCATATTTATTTCCTTTCAACTGCTATATTTTTCAATTAGAATAAAATATTATTTAATATATTATATTTAATATTTTAATGTCTGTAGAGTTAATATTTGATTATATTACTGAAAAGAAACACATTGCCAATAAATTTATTTGTTACAATTATTTATGTTTCTAAAATATGTATTAATGCCATTTTGTCACTGATACTAAAAGTTAATCATGAAAATAATATAAAAACACACAATGGTTTCAATTAATATCATTAATTTATATTACAAAGCTATTAAAAAATATATATTTTAGCGAGTTAGATGATTACCTAATCATATAACCATATAACCTTAATTCAACACTTCCTTTAATTCAACCGAAAGCTCTGATCCCTTGGGGTGTTGAATTAAAGAGGTTCGACTGTATGTGATAAGGAAGGTTCCACTGAGATTTCAACTCAAATCGCTGGATTCAGAGCCCAGAATGCCGACCACTACACCATGGAACCACCAGCGATCCGAGTTCAAATCTCTGTGGAACCTTCTTTATCTGATGCTATATTGGTGTCTGTGACTTATTTGTATATTGTGTGTCACACCTATAATTGTCCACGTGTCAATTGGTTGGTACACCACGGCTGTGCAGGGAGCTCCGTCCAGTGTGGGAGCGATACATGAAGACCATCTCCGGCTGCCTGCTCAAGATGTACCACACCTAGGCGGCTCAAACCTCGGACCATCTTGTACCATGTGTGTACAAATAAACAATATTTCTATAATGATAAATGTTGTCATCACTGTGTGGAGCTGGTCCTTTTGACTGCAGCCATATCAGGAAGGGGGAAGACTTCTTTGTGTTTGAGACAATTTTAAAAAATTATGTGAGTTAAAAGATTATTTTATTATTATTAATATTTTTTTTATTAGAATGTGAAAAATTACAATAAATAGGATATATTATAAGTTCAGGGAATCAGACCCAAGACTGATGTCAACCAGACTCCCTTAGTCTGGTGGTAGGATGTTGCATTGATTTAGCCGGTCCATTCAATGAAGATTCCATGGATGAAATAATTCTCTGGACCTCCATGTATTCCATATGCTGTTGACCTAATATTGTTCATCTGCCATTAAAATCACAAGGTAAAAAGACCAAATCCAAATAAATAAATAGTGTGTGACGTTTTGGTAACAGTGTTGCTACCTAAACATTGCACACTATTTTTTTATTTCGATTTGGTCTTATTACCTTGTGTTTATAATCTTTAATCCAAATTGTACCTTATCATTGCCATTAAAAGCCGTTTCTAACTTGAAAGGGGCAGATATAAAGTAAACATCAGGATACTGAACCTAGTTGTCTGATGAATTCCATCAGTAGAGCTCAGATTTCCAGTATTGATGGGTTCCCGGTTTGGATAGTTGAAAAGGGAGGATACAAAAGGGGGGAAAAACTCTGTAATTGATTAAGAGTTGAGCTAAAGCAAGGATCGAGCATATAATATTGTCAGAACAATGGTCTAAAGATGGAAACAGCCGCGACACTATTATACAATTTCATCAGACAACCCATGAAATCGTTATTAAATTGGGCAATCTATAAAACACTGAAACACAGACACTCGCGGCAATGTATGTGGCCGGTAATTTATGGGAGACTTGATTATTAGTAACATTCCCTTCAAATAGGTAAGAAACATACAACATTTCATTTAAACAGTGGGAATAGCACCATAAGGCAAATTATGTATGAAATAGGTAACAGAGGAAACAAGAAAATTTCTCTAGATATTTATTTAAATATCTTAAAATTTGGGAACATGTCTATACTGACGAGATATGCTATTTACATAGTAAAATTTAGATAGAGGTGACCTGAAGTTACTTTATAGCCCTTTAGGGCCCATGCGAAATCTAGGTTGGTTACTACACAAAAAAGAAAAAAGGGGGGGAAACCTAGATCTCCATCTATTCTAGCGGGACAAAATATACGAACCCTAACACTCCTTTTTAAGTCACTTAAAGCCCTTTAGGGCCCATTCAGAATCTAAATAGATTAGCTTCTGTTCGAAAAATAAAAGGGGGGGGGCTAAACCATAATGGCGAGGGGCTTACCTTCTCTCGAAAGCGGCGGCAAGGTCTGTTCTCCTCTACGTCTCAGGCCCGACTAAAAATCGTCCTTCTCACTGAGCGACTCCGATCGAATCTTGCCTTTTGGCAGAGAACCTTCTTTTATATCATCTCTCTCTCCATTTTCATTCGCCGAAAGAAACACCAATCAAAATGGCCAACGGCTCCAGTATCAATTTCATAGACGCCCCAGGCCTCATCAAAATAGAACATATAGTATTACCAAAACAAAAAAAATCTAAAGAGAGAAACAACCCCGGCACTAGTGTAAGATTTCAGACGCCAGGCCTCTTCCATCAAAATAGAACATATAGTATTACCAAAACAAAAAATCTAAAGAGAGCAACAACTACGGCGATAGTGTAAAATTTCAGACGCCAGGCCCCTTTCCTCCACGTGGATTGAAATACCATCCTCCCTTTTTCTCGGGACGATATATATATATCGCCCCCACTCCGTCTTAGCTATAAATCGACACAGGCCCCTTTTCACTTGAACTGTAATATAACGCTTTCCTTTCTCGGGAAGGATATTTTATAAGGTTCAGTCCTTTAGAGATCTTCCTTCTCCATTTTTTTTTTCTGGTCACCTTTACCTAAACTTTTGGTGAGGGGAATATATGTACATATGGAACAACAGCTTCCAGCGCGGATGTCCCTGGATGTCACTGGTGTTTCCTTCACCAGGCATCGGCACGGAAGTCTGGTGTCATCAATTGTCTGGGTTTCTGGGCAAAAAGATGGTCTGTAAGTCTATGTGGGAGGGAAGCCATGTATCCATTTGATTTGATTATACATACGCCTTCTGTTGGGGTATGGTTACAAAAAAAACGTGCCCCAACAATCCTCCCCCTGCCAAGTAATGGACAAATGCGTTTGTGCTATTCATTATTCATCTGCCTTTCATCAGTTACTATGAAAGCAGGCCCATTTCTAGCAAAATGCATTTTCCATTACTAGGTGAAGCCAGGTGTACCGAAACCTATAGGGAAGATAAGGCTAATCAAAATGATGGTATGCTATTCTAGATGTTTATTATTCCGAACATTAGTGGGCATTGTGCATCCTGGCAAAGGGGTTTTTATGTGTTATTATTCTGTCAGCACACTGTTATCAACATAGGTTATGGGGGACAGTCATATCATATGTATGGAAGTAAGCAAGGTCATCTGTCTTACCATTCATGGGTATATATACCACCCTTCCACTTTCTTCTTTGGCCTTGAGGAGTAGGCCCTCCTTGTGGTAAGTCCTCTCAACCCCATCCTTGCCTCTTGTGGTGCTGGATTCATTGCTACCTTCTTTCTGCTAACAATACAGTTAGAGCATTTCCCTATTACATATTATATATAAAAATTTGGGCGCCAAGAAGTCGTTTAGAAATAACTGACTAGTCCAACTCCTAAAACATGCCAGCATCTTTATTTAAGTACCAATCAAGACATTCGTGTGGTATAGTTATACATATACAATCAAAGGAAAGGATAATTATAGTTAGCTGAAAGAAATATCTTGGTATATAATGATTAGCCTATGACATGATGACTTTTGCTAAATAAAAAATTACAGAAAACAAATTATGTAAATAATCATTAAATAAGGCACGAAATATGTAATGATAAAATGAATCCTTCCATGTTATATGATGAGTATAACATATATATTGAAGTAAAACATATCATGTAGATAGTGATTAAATATGTTAAGATATAAGTGATAAAAATCATCCCATGATAGATGACAAAAGAAAACTACTACAAGATTATATATGGTGACAAAATATATATAATTAAATATTTAATATAAATATTAATATCATGAATGTCAAAATAAAATTGTTGAAATGAATAGTATATGACTATAATATAATATATATGATATAAAAATAATAACATATTGAAAAAGAAAATGTAAACATAATATATATTTGTGCGCTGAAGGTTCGAGGTTTAGTATCTCAGTTAAATTTCAATCTTATCCAGTCTGGAATCACGAGTTGGTCACTGGGTAATATTCGTCTATCCCGATCCTACTGGAGGGTGGGTTCTCTCTTGTGTGTTAGATTCCTCAAATTCCAATACTCTCTCAACCCAGATGGGAACGTCATTTAGAATCTTGGTCAAATGGAGCATAGCCCAGACCTCTATTAAACTACACAGTCCATTTAAATCTAGGGTGACAACCGTATGAAGAGAATTTTTTTGTTTTGGCAGAGCGACTAATCAATTTCTACTATTTTGTTTGTGGCTCCGTTTACCTTGCCTCTGGGGTGTGTACAGTTCAGCTACCTCCCCTTTCCAAGAAATTCATATTACTTTCATCTACTAATATACTCTCTATTCATTTGACCTGAATCCTATAAATCTACATCTTGAAAATTTGAATTTTATCAATCTGAAATTTTGGTTCTTTTACAAATTCCTTCAGAATTCTACTCCCTGTATAACTGCTCTTAATTCTACTGTCCTCAATACAACACTTCTAAAACTTTGACTCACTGGCTTGTTCTGGCGTCTCGTTCGCGGTCATTATAGTTAACTAATACTTTAAAATCTTATCCTAACATGGAACGAGTCTAAACTCGTTGAAGGTCCTAAAAATAGTCTCACTGAGCGACTCCGATCGAATCTTGCCTTTTGGCAGAGAACCTTCTTTTATATCATCTCTCTCTCCATTTTCATTCGCCGAAAGAAACACCAATCAAAATGGCCAACGGCTCCAGTATCAATTTCATAGACGCCCCAGGCCTCATCAAAATAGAACATATAGTATTACCAAAACAAAAAAAATCTAAAGAGAGAAACAACCCCGGCACTAGTGTAAGATTTCAGACGCCAGGCCTCTTCCATCAAAATAGAACATATAGTATTACCAAAACAAAAAATCTAAAGAGAGCAACAACTACGGCGATAGTGTAAAATTTCAGACGCCAGGCCCCTTTAGCAAAATTGAACAAAATCTTTTTGAGGATTTCTGGTTGTTTTGTTTGTACTCACGTATGTTGTAGTTATGAGGACATCCCTTCTGATAAAAACAAATATATATTTATTTAAGGAACGACTTGTTCCATTACATATATTGTTAAAACAAGTTAGCGGTAAACAATAACAGCAAGGTTGAAGGTAGAAGTTGGAAGTTACGTCATAGTAGTGACGTAAGCATCTATGATGATTAAAGTCAAAGTCTGTGTAACAATTCCCTCCTTACTTTGGCTTTATTCCCACGATGCTGAGGCTCTCCAGGTGTTTCTTCATCTGGTCTCGGGATAGGTCCTTTGTGAAGATATCCGCCTCCAGGTCCTGAGATGGCTTGTACAGAAGGCAGATGTCTCTGGATTCATAACAGTCTCTCAAGAAGTGGTACTTTCTGTTGATATGTCT